AGATTTTTACTGGACTAAACGTGTTTGGTCAAAATTATTTTAGTTGAAATATTTGAGTATTTGACTTATTGTTAAATATTTAAATATTTTAACTAAAGAAATATTATAATAAAAATTGCGTGCGCGTATTGCAATAAAAGAATATAAGTGTTTATAATAAACGATGACGAAACCGATTGCAACTCAGACAGTCGCAATAATCGAATGATAATATCGTGACTTGCATTTGACACGGCGTGCTCGGTTTTAATTATCTATATAATACTTGAATCTCGATTTGCATCGGAATTATAATCGATCGATCAATGAATATTATTATTCTGCATCTTGTCCGAAACATACTTTCGTGTATTATATAATATACAGAGTGTTTTCTAATAAGTGGGAAGTATTGCAGTGGTGGATTCAGGACATAAAAATAAAAAAAGAAGTTTATATAAACATATGTCCAATATGACCCTGTGTTACAGCCTGTTTTATTTTCCAACAGAGTTAAAATAGTATATTTGGATATCGGTTTGGATAAATATTTTCCTTTACACACTCCGCTCCAAATGATTTTTAGTTGACCTTGACATTGATCTTGATCTCTAAGAAGGTCAAGGTCATTGATCAAGCCGTCGCTCGGTTAATAACAAAAAGTTATGAAGGAATAAAGCACAGGGAGATATCGGATGGATCTCGCTTCGCGCAGAAAGTTACAAACCCATGTGAAATCGTATAATTATAAACTTTATTTCACGTCCGAAGTACAAGGCGATATGAGTTGGATCTTGCTTCGCACAGAAAGTTGCAAACTCATGTGAAATCGTATAATTATAAACCTAGTTTCGCGTCCAAAGCATAAGTAAGTATTGGATGGATCTCGCAAAGTACATGTGTGGACGGGAGGGGGACTCACACATACTTTGAAAGGAAAAGCAAGGTTCACCCCATACCCTGCTTACGTGCGGAACAAGGTCTATAATTGTACGGCTCCATATAGGTTTCCACGGTTTCCAACTTTTCATGCAAAGCGAAAAAGATTTGATCTCGAAAAATGGGTCTTAAAAAGTAGATAGAACTAACTAGCAACGGAAAAGTTTAATGACCTTGATCTCCTTAGAGGTCAAGGTTAACATCAAGATCAACCGGAAGTTATTTGGGGCGGGCTGTGTAAAAGTAAATATTTACTTAAATTAGATATTAGATGATTGGTTTGATAATGATTGTATAAAGATACACTAAAATCTAGAGAATACACGCCGAACTGACTTTTTTTAAATTCTCCCGACTTATGAATCTTTGCGAAATTTAGAATTTGTGCAGAAGTGGTGTTTTCTTCGAAGATTTATCTGTAGATAATGTACATATAAACTACAAGACAGATTTCCAAACAAAGAAAAAAAATGTAAGTAACAAACTAATCCAGTTTTTACATATCAACTAAATTTAAATTTATTATGGTTATCATATCAATTTAAATCTGTGTGCTTGTCTGCTTTCATTTTTGTGATATATATTATTGATATGTTGTGTTGAAAGCAATCGATGACATTCGCGTAGGAAAAAAATGTTCAGAAATCACATATGTTCTTTTTACTCTTGATTATGCAATAGTTAACGCATGCATTTGCTCGATGTTTCGTAATAATTAAACGTATAATTCGTATCACTCCCAATTACTATATATAAAAGTATATAGTATACATATAGTATGCTATATGCACAATGACAATAACATGAAAACATTCAAATTTCGTATAATCGAGAAAAATTATAAAGATTGCGTACAATAAAGAGAAATGAACATTTTCTGATAAATTGATTATTTCTTTGACGTGAAATGGATGTATATGTCTTCGCATGGTCGCAAAATGAGAGCGGCTTCGTTTAGAACTATATCCGCCGTTTTTACACTTTTCACTCTCCATTTTCTTAAAATAGCTGTTAATATCGTTTTCTCTTCGAGTAAAGCAAATCTCTGGCCGATACAGTTTCTTGGTCCAGCACTGAATGGAACATAGGCATATGGATTTCTATGTTTCGAATTTTCCGGAAGAAAACGATCTGGATCGAATTTAGTTGGATCTGACCAAACTTCCGGATTTTTATGCATTAAACCGATTGCCAACATGACTGTAGCATCTTTCGGGAGCATATAATCACCTAAAATAAAACAGATTGATTCTAAACTGTATTCCGTCACACACACACATATACACATAAAATTTTATGTCGATAAACTTTTTTAATATAAATGTTTTTATTGTCTAGAAAATTAAACTTTTGTGTATTTACATTATAATATTAAATCTACTTTAGATAATCTGTATAAGATAATTTGTGATAGAATTTAATTTATAAAAATAATAATCGAAGAATTGACACGCACACACATACACACACACACACACACACACACACACACACACACACACACACACACACACACACACACACACACACACACACACACACACACACACACACACACACACACACACACACACACACACACACACACACACACACACACACACACACACACACACACACACACACACACACACACACACACACACACACACACACACACACACACACACACACACACACACACACACACACACACACACACACACACACACACACACACACACACACACACACACACACACACACACACACACACACACACACACACACACACACACACACACACACACACACACACACACACACACACACACACACACACACACACACACACACACACACACACACACACACACACACACACACACACACACACACACACACACACACACACACACACACACACACACACACACACACACACACACACACACACACACACACACACACACACACACACACACACACACACACACACACACACACACACACACACACACACACACACACACACACACACACACACACACACACACACACACATTCACACACGTGCAAAATATCAAATGGTAAATGGAATTTTTTCTTTTCTGTTGCAAATAAGAGACTGTCTAAAATGGATTTTAAACTATTGGTCTTTTGCTGAACCGTTTTTATTTAGCCTTTAATAAATAAAAAAAAAAGAGATTTATCCCCTTCATCAGTTAAGAAGTAAAAATATTACTGTTTCATTGCAAATTGTATAAATTACAGATTAATGTGAATATCTTAAGATTTCTTTTATTTTAATATTAATAGAACTAAAATCCAGTCATACCTGTCATTTTTACATCTTCTATTAATTTCCTTGTGATTATGGGTACACTTGGGAATAATCTGAGCGTTTCTTTTATGATCCTCTCAAGATATTTTAACTGCGACAGTTTCTTTACGCTGGCTGGTGGACTTGTGCTCTCAATTCATCATCAGTTAACGGAGTTTCGGCCTTCTCATTCTCATCTAGTAACAGATCCAGAAAAGCTTTCCTCTTTCGCTTACCTATCAAAATAAATTTCATGAAAATAATTTAAAAAATATTTACACAAGCCATCAAAGCATATGTATAACGATAATATAATAATCACACCTATGTCAAGTTCGTCATCCTCGTTTTCCGATTTCGCAGAACCGTTTCGCGATTGTCGTGCGATCTTTCTCTTACGTATCACCTGAAATTTATCATTTATCCGTTGTAAACTTGTTGAATTCACCCCAACAAAAAGTAATGCAAATAATTAATTTAATAAAATTCTGCCGATATCTTAATACATTACAATGTATTATTAATGTTTCTTTTTGCGCGTACCTCTTTCGTAAATTTATGTATTATATTAAGCCCTGAATTGTATTTTCTTCCTGAAGGCACTAAATTATATAACCAATCTGACCAAAGCCACGGTCGAAAATATCGCTCGATTATTAATTTAGAACCTCTAAAGTACAATTAAAACATTAAATTGATATAACAGCATATTTATGCTATTATATTAAATATAAATTAATCAAACAAATTTTGTTGTCAATTCCTAAAAAGATCTTCTTAATAAATCATTAATGCTATTAACCATTTTATTAACTAACAAAATAATGTAACTCGTGACTTTTCGGACCTATGTATTGTTGTGGTATATTCGGTTTCAATTTCTTGAGCATGTACATCCACTCCCATTGCCGTTTCTGCAAAATAATTATTTATTAATATTATCGCCATAACTTTCTCGTCAAAATATGCTATATTATTTACAAATTCCATAAAAAATGAAATTGCCTCTTATAACTCTCAAAAATAATATTGAGTCGAATAATTAATTTTGTTATTCACCGGAATTAATACCGACATAAAATTTTGCTTATATCTAAATATCTACGAGAATAAGTCATATATTTATTCTCACAATTATATAAAATGTCACTTAAGATTTGATTTTTTGCATCGATTTACATATGCAATGTCGGAAATCGAGCTCATCAAAATTATACTAATATTGTAATCCATGATTACATATACAAAAAGAGAAAGAATTTTACTGTTACAGCAAAACCATTATTGCCACTACACATTCAATAAACTTCACTTCGTGAAAACAAACGGCATTCGAAACAGAAATCAATTATTCGATATTGCAGGTAAAATTTAATTTTTCCTCGGAACATCTTAAAAATCTTGTGTGCTAATTAAATTTGATTGTGGGAAAATAAATTCAATGTTAAAACAAAATCTTCTATTTATCCAGTAAACATATCTGTAACTGTTGTTTTAATAGCAAAATAAGTGAATAAGTAGATAAATAAGCAATTAATTTATTATTATAACAAAAGAACTTACTGGTTCAGC